GTTTATGACTTCTTCAAAATCCAGTGGGATAGGGTGACGTCTGATATATGATTTGATGTTGGTATCATATCCATGAAAAATTCATTTGGGTTATCAATCTTCAGTGCGTTTAATGGCTCGCTGAAAACAGAGTCGTACTGATTCCTCAATAACTCGCTCATTTCTTTGTTGTCATCGGTGAAAGTTCCATCTCCCTTTCGCAGGGGCCCGATACTAGATGTGGTTTTTTATCTTGATTTTGCATAGGAGAAAAAATATTTCAGATTTCTCTCTATTTCACTGATGGTCTTTTGCTCTCTTTGCCTCTCCTGGGTTTTGTATGATTCTTGTAGCTTGAGTTCAACAGGTATTGTAATCATTATGTTCCTGATCAATTCATCATTATTAGTGAAAATGAGGTCCAGCGTGTTCTCCTTCCTAGTTGGTTCTACTATTTGCTAGTTTAAGGCAAACCTGTCGCACATCCGTAGCAGGTCATTTGCATGTAATTACCCAAGTGTAATTACCTAAGTGTAGTTACAGGATGAGAGCTACGCTCGTGGTGTCCCGTCTTCCCAGCACTCTTTGTCATATAACGCTTTGAGACTACTGACGGTCTTGGCCTCCTGTTCATTTAGGCTACTTCCTGGTATTCTTTCTGATATTACTGTATTAGCCAGGTGCTTCCATTTCAGGTGCCGTAGGTTGAAGTCCCCAAGCAGGATGATGTTCGGAGCAGGATTTGTGAGGTTTTCCAAGCAGTGTTCTATTTTCATTAGTTGGTCTTTAAACTGCTGAGGGTTTGCCTCCGGTGACTTATATACAAGGACAATAACTACATTTAGGATCTCTATTTTGATTATCAGCACTTCCGCCATATCATTTGAGGTGTTTAGCAGCTCAGTACAGATGAGTGTGTCGTTGATGTAGAGGCTGACTCCACCCTGAAGCCGGTGTTTCCTGTCACATCTGAAGAGATTGTACTCTGAGATCCATATTTCACCATCAAGGTAGTCCTTTGTGTGAGTTTCTGTTAGGGCTGCAAACACTGCATTTGCCTCATGAAGGAGACCATCTATAAAGTGAACTTTGTTGGATTTGCGTGTTTTTATACCCTGGATGTTGGCAAATATAAATGATGTTATCGTGTTAGTGGAGTGCTGGATGCCTTACTTGGTGTTAATATCTGAGGCTCTGGTAAGGAGGCCCACTGTGTTTGCGTCCTCTCTTAGCATTTGACCGAGATGATGGTACAGTCTGGTCATTTTTAGCCATTCTTCTCCTCCTCCTCTTGCTAAAAAATCATCCTGGTCGATGGAGTAGTGGCTGTTTCATAGTGGCGGTCTGTCGGTTTTATTCGCCTGGTACCTCTTATTTGAAAAGCTGTACATTCAGCATTGAAGTACTCTTTCGGGTCCAAAGAGTTCTTGCAAAAGGTGAGGGAGAGAGAGCGAGGAGGGGGAGTGTGAGGGAGAGAGAGAGAGGAGGGGAGTGTGAGGGAGAGAGAGAGAGGGAGAGAGCAGGGGGAGGTGAGAGAAGAGAGAGCAGGGGGAGTGTGAGGGGAGGGTGAGAGAGAGAGCAGGGGGTGTGTGAGGGAGGGAGAGGGGGGGGAGAGAGCCTGGCCATGTCACAGCGTCACGGCCAAAGTCACAACTCGCCAATTTTTCCTCACATTACTGGTGTTTTGTCCATTATTCCGGCATATTTAGTGCGTCAAGTGAGGGTGGGTCCCCCTCTACAACTGTGACAGTCACTAGTGAGGGTGGGTCCCCCTCTACAACTGTGACAGTCACTAGTGAGGGTGGGTCCCCCTCTACAACTGTGACAGTCACTAGTGAGGGTGGGTCCCCCTCTACAACTGTGACAGTCACTAGTGAGGGTGGGTCCCCCTCTACAACTGTGACAGTCACTAGTGAGGGTGGGTCCCCCTCTACAACTGTGACAGTCACTAGTGAGGGTGGGTCCCCCTCTACAACTGTGACAGTCACTAGTGAGGGTGGGTCCCCCTCTACAACTGTGACAGTCACTAGTGAGGGTGGGTCCCCCTCTACAACTGTGACAGTCACTAGTGAGGGTGGGTCCCCCTCTACAACTGTGACAGTCACTAGTGAGGGTGGGTCCCCCTCTACAACTGTGACAGTCACTAGTGAGGGTGGGTCCCCCTCTACAACTGTGACAGTCACTAGTGAGGGTGGGTCCCCCTCTACAACTGTGACAGTCACTAGTGAGGGTGGGTCCCCCTCTACAACTGTGACAGTCACTAGTGAGGGTGGGTCCCCCTCTACAACTGTGACAGTCACTAGTGAGGGTGGGTCCCCCTCTACAACTGTGACAGTCGCTAGTGAGGGTGGGTCCCCCTCTACAACACTGTGACAGTCACTAGTGAGGGTGGTCCCCCCTCTACAACTGTGACAGTCGCTACAACTGCCACACAGTCGCTACAACTGCCACACAGTCGCTACAACTGCCACACAGTCGCTACAACTGCCACACAGTCGCTACAACTGCCACACAGTCGCTACAACTGCCACACAGTCGCTACAACTGCCACACAGTCCCTACAACTGCCACACAGTCCCTACAACTGCCACACAGTCCCTACAACTGCCACCAGTCGCTACAACTGCCACACAGTCGCTACAACTGCCACACAGTCGCTACAACTGCCACACAGTCGCTACAACTGCCACACAGTCGCTACAACTGCCACACAGTCGCTACAACTGCCACACAGTCGCTACAACTGCCACACAGTCGCTACAACTGCCACACAGTCGCTACAACTGCCACACAGTCGCTACAACTGCCACACAGTCGCTACAACTGCCACACAGTCGCTACAACTGCCACACAGTCGCTACAACTGCCACACAGTCGCTACAACTGCCAGACAGTCGCTACAACTGCCAGACAGTCGCTACAACTGCCAGACAGTCGCTACAACTGCCAGACAGTCGCTACAACTGCAAGTTGTAACAAGTTCGTAGTGTCGTGGTGTGTATGGGGGGCATCTCCCCCAAGTACAAACACCAGATAATAGTTTACATAAACACAAAGTCAGTGCTGATAAATTGTGCACATTAAACTAATACAAAACTACTGAAGTTTACTGGATAAGTTGACCACTTTACATTGTAAAGATTATTATTGAGGAAAATGTAGACTAGAGCCGTTGTGGTATGGTGGATGATGGAGTGATGACCCCGGGGTCCTCCTCGTACACTGTGGTCATTATACCTGGTTGATGGGGTTCTGGGAGTTGTTCTACCCCCCAAGCCCGGCCCGAGGCCAGGCTTGTGAGAGTTTGGTCCACCAGGCTGTTGCTTGGAGCGGCTCGCAGGCCCACATATCCACCACAGACCGGTTGGTCCGGCACTCCTTGGAAGAAACTATCCAGTTTCCTCTTGAAGATGTCCACGGTTGTTCCGGCAATATTTCTTATGCTCGCTGGGAGGGTGTTTAACAACCGCGGACCTCTGATGTTTATACAGTGTTCTCTGATTGTGCCTATGGCACCTCTGTTCTTCACTGGTTCAATCTTGCATTTTCTTCCATATCATTCACTCCAGTACATTGTTATTTTACTGTGTAGATTTGGGACCTGGCCCTCAAGTATTTCCCACGTGTATATTATTTGGTATATCTCTCGTCTCCTTTCTAGAGTAGACACATTCGGAGAGCTTTGAGACGATCCCAATAATTTAGGTGTTTTATCACGTCTATGCGTGCCGTATATGTACTCTGTATTCCCTCTATTCAGCAATCTCTCCTGTTCTGAAGGGGGAAGTGAGTACTGAGCAGTACTCAAGACGGGACAACACAAGTAACTTGAAGAGTACAACCATTGTGATGGGATCCCTGCATTTGATCCCATCAAATAGGATACAGTCTTTGACCTATTATAGGATACAGTCTTTGACCTATTATAGGATACAGCCTTTGACCTATTATAGGATACAGCCTTTGACCTATTACAGGATACAGCCTTTGACCTATTACAGGATACAGCCTTTGACCTATTATAGGATACAGCCTTTGACCTATTATAGGATACAGCCTTTGACCTATTATAGGATACAGCCTTTGACCTATTATAGGATACAGCCTTTGACCTATTATAACAGGTCAAGACTGCATTAAACATTGTATTACCCGCAAGGTTGGCAAGGGCAGGGACTATGGTGGTGGTGGTGGTGGTGGAGGGGGAGGGGGCGAGTGGACCACGAGGCTCCGGACACCAGCAGGTTACAGCGTCAGCTACTGAGGAAGTTATGACACAGGGAACAAGCAGTCACAGATAATTAGAAGAATAAGATGATTGAAGACTAGGCCTGCCACCGTCTTCAGTAATCTTAGCGTCACTATAGACCAGGTGTCTCCAAACTATGGCCCGAGGGCCACATCCGGCCCGCCACATAATTTCATCCGGCCCTCCAAACAAATCCCTGTGTGGTGGCCTTGAAAAATAATTATCGTACGAATGGCATCGCAGAATTATCAAAGCTGGGGCTGCTGACTGGTGGCGCTCAACCCGAGTCAGTTTTCCTCTCTCTCGATAGTGTGACGCACAGATACTAATACTGGTAGGTATGTGTTGTGCATTACAACCAATCAGTTGTGTATAACTGTATATTGTGGGGATGGAGGGCGAGTGGGGCTTCGCTGCTTCCGTTTCAGGGAGCACAAACACTGTACAATATTCTTTTCTCTGTACTTTGACAATGCCTTTATCTTAGTTATACAAAATAGCAATAATACTATTGTAGCCAAAAATATTGCATGTTTAAAATAGTTAAAATGGTAACCATTAAGTTATGTTTGTTATGTTTTAAGTTATGTTTAAACCAAAAAGATATGTTTTAATTTTTCCATGTTTATACTTTAATATTTGAGGAAATTAAATTACTGGCACTGATTTGTTTTTTGTTTTTTTTCATTTTTTATTCCTCCGGCCCGCATAAATATGGGAAATATATAATGTGGCGCTTACATTGACAAGTTTGGAGACCCTGATGTAGACGCTAACAGTTGCACTCGTCAAGTGCTTGGTCTGTTGTGGGCGTCCGGGGCCACACCACCCACTCTTGTGGGCGTCCGGGGGCCACACCGCCCACTCTTGTGGGCGTCCGGGGGCCACACCGCCCACTCTTGTGGGCGTCCGGGGCCACACCGCCCACTCTTGTGGGCGTCCGGGGGCCACACCGCCCACTCTTGTGGGCGTCCGGGGGCCACACCGCCCACTCTTGTGGGCGTCCGGGGGCCACACCGCCCACTCTTGTGGGCGTCCGGGGGCCACACCGCCCACTCTTGTGGGCGTCCGGGGGCCACACCGCCCACTCTTGTGGGCGTCCGGGGCCACACCGCCCACTCTTGTGGGCGTCCGGGGGCCACACCGCCCACTCTTGTGGGCGTCCGGGGGCCACACCGCCCACTCTTGTGGGCGTCCGGGGGCCACACCGCCCACTCTTGTGGGCGTCCGGGGGCCACACCGCCCACTCTTGTGGGCGTCCGGGGGCCACACCGCCCACTCTTGTGGGCGTCCGGGGGCCACACCGCCCACTCTTGTGGGCGTCCGGGGGCCACACCGCCCACTCTTGTGGGCGTCCGGGGGCCACACCCGCCCACTCTTGTGGGCGTCCGGGGGCCACACCGCCCACTCTTGTGGGCGTCCGGGGGCCACACCGCCCACTCTTGCTTGTCACAATAACTTTATAAAGTGAAACTATAGCTTAAGGCGCCAAGTGTGGTCCACATACACCAGCGTGTTCTCACCACCGTTCCCAACGTCACTAAACTCTTGTATTAAGTTGCCCAAACCTAACCTACCTGAGAACCCACCAACGCTTCATACATGTCGAGCCGTGGCTTGGGAGCCGGTCGGCCGAGCGGACGACACACTGGACTTGTGATCCTATGGTTCCGGGTCCGATCCCGTTCGCCGGTGAGAAACAATGGGCAGAGTTTCTTTCACCCTATGCCCCTGTTACCTAGTAGTAAAATAGGTACCTGGGTGTTAGTCAGCTGTCACGGGCTGCTTCCTGGGGGCCTGATCGAGGACCGGACCGCGGGGACACTAAAGCCCCGAAATCATCTCTAGATAACCTCAAGAAGGTCGGCGTTCAATACCCGACTAAGTGATTGGACACCATTCCTTCCCACCGTCCTATCCCAAATCCTTATCCTGATACCTTCCAAGTGCTATACAGTCGTAAATGGCTTAGCGCTTTCCCCTGATACTTCCCTCCCCCTCCCCCACTCCCCAGGGACCAGCAGGGGTGTTGCCGGGCCCCTGCTGGCTCTTGCTACTGTAATCTGCGTCGTGTTGAACTGTGTTATCATCTCCGTCCATATAGGGAGTGGGAGCTCACCGCAGGCACTCTGATAGGTAATAAGAGCATGGTACAAGATACTCTCTGCTTGGTAGGGAAGACGTAGGCCAACAGTCTGTCATACACAACATGCTCGCTCGCTCTCTCTCTCTCTCATCTTATCCCTCTCTCACCTTCCCTCCCTTCATCCCTCCCTCTCCCTCTGTGTGGTAAACGCTAGACTCTAATATTTGCTTTCCTACATGTAAGCTCTAAGTTAGTAACTTAGTTGTAAACGCCTGACATCAGGAACTAAAGTACTAAATTAAGATGGTGTATAATGTGTTAATGTAGTAGTAGGCATCCTTCAGTCTCGGGAGACTATGGAGTTGCGCCCTAGTTGTCAATCCTGGTGCAGCGTCTGGTGTGACTGATGAGGCCAATCCGAGAGTGGCAGTCCATCCCACACCGAGCACAAACGAAGTCCGATTCTGGTCTGTCTTCCTGGTTACCGGCTATCCTTCTCACAGGCTTCTCACAGCCTTCTTTCATTAACACATTAATGTGTTAATGTAAAAGATCAATTACCCAACCATATGTATTATTGTCATGTGCCTCTTCATCTTTCTTACATATACAGCATATGCTGAACATGTACACCCACCACAATGATATCACATTAACGTCATGTTTCAATGAGCACATCAATAAGAGCCATGAGGGGGGATTCGAACCCGCACACTGGGTGCTCCCAAGCCCTCGCCCTAGACCACACAGCCACCACTACGCTTTGTACTGACAAACTCCAAAATTATTCTTCCACTGAAGATGTAAACGATGTCTGGGGCTTTTTTTTTTTTTTTTTTTTTTTTTTTGAAAGGGGGGGGGAGGAATTACAGAAGATAGAGAGGCACAGATGAAGGAAACTTTAGAAACAAGAAGTACAGTGTATGTATGTATGCACTGTACAGTGCATGTATTATGTATGATAGGAGGCGGGCTGTCCGCCTTGCTGACACCATGTGTGGGTGTTGGCAGCTAAGCTAAGCTGGCTCCCTCTTGTCAGGGAGCTGTGAGTGTGTGAGAGGTTCTTCATATGTGTTTCACCATATGTGGATGTCTATAGATGAATACTGTGTAGCATTCATATATATACATTGTCAGATTCCTTTACACGCTTTGATCTGATTATTAGAATAATCTATTTTATTATTATTTACTTTAAGACGGGGAGGGATTTCTGATCCGTATTTCATCTGGGAATTATGTATTGTGGGGCGGGGGTTTCATCCATTAGATCGAGGCTCTTGGGCCACCAGCTGTGGGAGCGGGGCCGTCTCATCTTGGGCCACCAGCTGTGGGAGTGGGGCGTCTCATCTTGGGCCACCAGCTGTGGGAGTGGGGCGTCTCATCTTGGGCCACCAGCTGTGGGAGTGGGGCGTCTCATCTTGGGCCACCAGCTGTGGGAGCGGGGCGTCTCATCTTGGGCCACCAGCTGTGGGAGTGGGGCGTCTCATCTTGGGCCACCAGCTGTGGGAGTGCGGCGTCTCATCTTGGCCCACCAGCTGTGGGAGTGAGGCGTCTCATCTTGGCCCACCAGCTGTGGGAGCGGTGCGTCTCTTCTTAGGCCACCAGCTGGTGGGGCGGGGCGTCTCATCTTGGGCCACCAGCTGTGGGAGCGGGGCGTCTCATCTTGGGCCACCAGCTGTGGGAGCGGGGCGTCTCATCTTGGGCCACCAGCTGTGGGAGTGGGGCGTCTCATCTTGGGCCACCAGCTGTGGGAGTGGGGCGTCTCATCTTGGGCCACCAGCTGTGGGAGTGGGGCGTCTCATCTTGGGCCACCAGCTGTGGGAGTGGGGCGTCTCATCTTGGGCCACCAGCTGTGGGAGTGGGGCGTCTCATCTTGGGCCACCAGCTGTGGGAGCGGGGCGTCTCATCTTGGCCACCAGCTGTGGGAGCGGGGCGTCTCATCTTGGGCCACCAGCTGTGGGAGCGGGGCGTCTATCTTGGGCCACCGGGGTGCCTGGGGGGGGCGCGGGGAAGGTGCCTCGGAGGGCGGGGGGGTGCCTGATGGGGGGATCCTGGGGCGAGTTGCCAGAGGGGGGGCGGGGTGCCAGGGAGGGGGGGCGGGGTGCATGGGGGGGGCGGGGTGCCTGGGGGCGGGGTGCCTGGGGGGGCGGGGTGCCAGGGGGAGGGCGGGGTGCCTGGGGGGGGGGGCGGGGTGCCTGGGGGGGGGGGGCGGGGTGCCTGGGGGGGGGCGGGGGTGCCTGGAAAGGGGGGGTCCCTGGGGGGGGGCGCGGGGTGCCTGTGGAGGGGCGGGGTGCTTGGGAGGGGCGGGGTGCTTGGGGGGGGCGGGGTGCCTGGGGGGGGGGGGCCGGGGTGCCTGGGGGGGGGCGGCGGGGTGCCTGGGGGGGCGGCGGGGTGCCTGGGGGGCGGAATGCTTGGAGGTTGCCTGGGGGGGTGGCGGGGTGCCTGAGAGGCGGGGGGTACCTGGGGGGAGCGGGGGGTGTCTGGGGGGGAGCCTGAAGCGGTTGCCTGGGGGGGGGTGTTCGGGGGGCCTGGGGGCGGGGGGCCTGGGGGCGGGGGCCTGGGGGGGGGCGGGGGGGTGCCTGGGGGGGGGGGGGGTGCCTGGGGGGGGGCGGGGTGCCTGGGGGGGGCGGGTGCCTGGGGGGGCGGGGTGCCGGGGGGGGGCGGGGTGCCGGGGGGGGCGGCGGCGGGTGCCTGGGGGGGGCGGGGGCCTGGGGGGGGGGCGGGGTGCCTGGGGGGGGGCGGAATGCTTGGGGGGGTTGCCTGGGGGGGTGGCGGGGTGCCTGAGAGGCGGGGGGTACCTGGGGGGGGGGCGGGGGGTGTCTGGGGGGGAGCCTGAAGCGGGTTGCCTGGGTGGGGGGTGCCTGGGGGGGGGCGGGGGGCCTGGGGGCGGGGGGCCTGGGGGGCGGGGGGCCTGGGGGGGGCGGGGGGCCTGGGGGGGCGGGGGGCCTGGGGGGGGGCGGGGTGCCTGGGGGGGGGGGGTGCCTGGGGGGGCGGGGTGCCTGGGGGGGGCGGGGTGCCTGGGGGGGCGGGGTGCCTGGGGGGGGCGGGGGTGCCGGGGGGGGGGCGGGGTGCCGGGGGGGGGCGGGGTGCCGGGGGGGGGGCGGGGTGGGTGGGGGGGGGGGGTGCCTGGGGGGGCGGGGTGCATGGGAGGGGGCGGGGTGCATGGGGGGGCGGGGTGCCTGGGGGTGGCAGGGGGGTGGGGGCCGCTGGGAGGGCGGGGTGCTTGGGGGGGGGCGGGGTGCCTGGGGGGGGGCGGGGTGCCTCGGGGGGGGGGGGGCGGGGTGCCTGGGGGGGGCGGGGTGCGGGGGGGGGCGGGGGTGCTCGGGGGGGGGCGGGGGCATGCCGGCGGGGGGGGGGGGGCGGGTGCCTCGGGTGGGTGGGGGGGCGGGTGCCTCGGGGGGGCGGGGTGCCTGGGGGGGGGGGGGTGCGGGGTGCCTCGGGGGGGGGGGGGGGCGTCGGGGGCGGGTGGGGGTGGGCGGGGGGGGGGGGGGGGGGTGCCTGGGGGGGGGGGGGCGGGGTGCCTGGGGGGGGGGGGGCGGGGGGTGCCTGGGAGGGGCCGGGGTGCGGGGTGCCTGGGGGGGGCGGGGTGCCTGGGAGGGGCGGGGTGCCTGGGAGGGGCGGGGTGCCTGCCTGGGGGGAGGGAGCGGGGTGCCTGGGGGGGGGGAGGGGGGGTGCCTGGGAGGGGCGGGCCCGGCAGGAGAGTCACAGACCAAGGTTGCCGCCGCCCACAGTGCGGGGTATGGCCCGGGGTCAGGGAAATAATACCCCAGCAGACGTCACCACTTGTTACACGCCAGCTACTCCACTGGTACTACCAGCGGCACGGGCATCCCTACCCCCCCCCCCACTCCCCTAATGGCACGGGCATCCCCCCTCCCCCAGCGGCACGGGCATCTTCCCCCCCACTCCCCCAGTTTCAGGGGCACTCCCCCCGCCGCCGCCGCCGCCAGGGTAGAACACAAGGCCGTCATATACCGTTGAGAGAAGACGGTAACACAGCCGCCCGTCACACTCACCACCACTCAGGGGCCACCAAGGTCACCCTCGCAGCCACTCCCCAAGGTCACCCTCACAGCCACTCCCCAAGGTCACCCTCGCAGCCACTCGTCAAGGTCACCCTCGCAGCCACTCCCCAAGGTCACCCTCACAGCCACTCGTCAAGGTCACCCTCGCAGCCACTCGTCAAGGTCACCCTCGCAGCCACTCGTCAAGGTCACCCTCGCAGCCACTCGTCAAGGTCACCCTCGCAGCCACTCGTCAAGGTCACCCTCGCAGCACTCGTCAAGGTCACCCTCGCAGCCACTCCCCAAGGTCACCCTCGCAGCCACTCATCAAGGTCACCCTCGCAGCCACTCG